TCTCAGAAAAAAAATCAAAAGTAGAAACTATTAAAGCAGTGGTTCCTAATTGGGAGTGATTTGAGGCCCCAGGGACTATTTGGCGATGTCTGAAGACATTTTCAGCTGTCACAAGTGGGGGTGGGGGAGTGCCATCAGTGTCCAGTGGGTAGAGATAGGGGTGCTGGGACGCACTCTGCAATGCACAGGACAGTCCACACAACAGTCATCTTGTCCAAATTGCTAATAGTGCTAAGATGAGAAATTATTAAAATTTCTGTATTACATTTGTGTTAAAAATAAAAAGACCTCACTGCAAAAACATATGAAACATCTGCACTGTAAAACATTAAAGACAAAAACTGAAGAAAATATTTGCACCTTATATGTCAACGCAATCTATACACACCAATAGCCCTTAGACAAAGGCAAGCATCCCAACAACAAAACAGGCAAAACTCACTAGCAAACAACTGACCAAAAAAACGCATCAGTGGCCAATAACCACTAAAAAATAAACACACTCCACCTCGTAAGTCATCAAAACAACTTGAACTAAAAGAACACTTCTGATGGGTTACCTATAAAGCCAGCCAAGATTTTCTAATTCACAGCGTTAGTGATGAGCACTTTAACATACTGATAAACAGAAGCGTAAGTTGATTTCAAACAAACAAAAGACTGGGAAGACATTTAGTTTTACTTAAAGTAGTTTTTCTTAATTTTAACTTTGTATTTTGAAAACCTCAGAATGTCTTGACATGACCACATATTTTTAGAAAACTATCAAAATCAATAAGGATATATGCAAAGATTTAGCTAAAAGAATTTCAGCTCAGCATTGTTTACATGGACAAAAACTAGAAATTCCTAAAATGTCAAATAAGGAGAAACTGATTAAACAAATCAATATACAACTCTTAAAACCATGCTATGCCGGCTGGGTGCACTGGCTCACACCTGTAATTCCAGCATTTTAGGAGGCCGAGGTGGGTGGATTACTTGAGGTCAGGAGTTCAAGACCAGCATGGCCAACTTGGTGAAACCATATCTCAACTAAAACTACAAAAATTAGCTGGGCATGGTGGCAGGCGCCTATAATCCCAGCTACTTGGGAGGTTGCAGCAGGAGAACTGCTTGAACCCAGGAGGTGGAGGAGGTTGCAGTGAGCCAAGATTGCGCCACTGCACTCCAGCCTGAGTGACAGAGTGAGACCCTATCTCAAAAAAAAAAAAAAAAATCATGCTATACCAAATATTGACATGGAGAGATGTCCACGACATACTATTAAAATGAAAAAATATACCCAAACTATAGATATATATGTGAAGATATCCATATGTTAAATATGTTTCATATATGTTATATATGTGAAGATATGTGTGCATGTGAAGAAGTCTATAATAACATAAACCAAAATATTAACAAATGGATCTATTTGGGTGGTGAGATACAGGCACCACAAAAGCAAGATATTTGTTTGTTTCCAGCTGTATCTCTAACACAGAACAATGTCCGGCATAAAGGAAAAGTAAAATAAAATTTGTTATTGTTATTTTTGTTTATCTATATTTTCTCACTGATATGCAGTGAAAACATTATTTGCATAACACATGTTTTAAATGTTGCCTTCTAAAAGACTAATTCAATAGCAAAACAAAATGTTTTACACATAGAAACAAAAGGAATGCCACCTATTTTAAGGATTATAAGGCTTTAAGAATAATTTATGTAAATATGCTCTGTAAATTCTACAGCACTGTATAAATGTAGAAAATTAATTATTTTGTTAAGATCATATATTCTGAAGTTAAAGCGGTTTCATGTGTGCTGTCACTGGCAGCCCTCCTCCCAGCAATTCATTTCCAATAATTTGTCCTTTAAAAACAATTAGAGACATGTGCAGTGTTACTTATAGAAGCAAAAAGGTGCAACAATGGAGAACTAGTTGAGAAAGTTGAGGCACATCCATAAAATGAAATACCATCTCACCACTAAAATGTTATCTTGTAGAAATGTATTTATTGACATACACATTGACTGATATAACCATTCTAAAACATCATGTATATGTAATCTAGGTAAAATAATCCCAATTACAGCTTATTATAACACTATTATGTCAAATCCTCAAAATAATTGTTATAGTTTTTTGATAATTCTTATCTTTTTAAATTTGTTAATTCAGCTATTCAGTTTGTCACTTGTTTCTCAAGACTTGATCAGTTAAACCATCCATAACATTTTATCTTTCAGTTGCAAAATTCAAAACATTTTATGGATTTTTCCATCCTTTGAAGGCATATGCGCTTTAAAGCCACACTATAGTTTCAAATGAAGCATGTGTATATATTACAAAATATGTATGTAATTTACTTTAACATTTTAATGTTAGTGGTTTCTTATATATCTCTTTATGCACTAGTCACTTCTTCATAATTCAGAAGCTGAATCTCATTTTCTCCCCTTAAAATAAATGTAAAAATTGCTTTCCAAAGCTTTATTTTTTCTACTTTCACAGAGATCACAAAAATAGAGTACAAAGAATACTGAGAACTAAATGAATAACTGCTAAAATAAAATATTAATAAATTAAAAATATAAATAAAATTTGAATCTTTTTATAAATATGAACAGAAGGAAAGTTTTCCTCCCATAGAATTCTATTAAAAGTGAAGAACTTTTATACAAACCAACCACATACATATATTTTTAATTTGAACACTAGCTCTCTAAAAAAAGTATAGTAAACTCTTCCTTTTTGCTAAGGACTACTGTTTTATTTATATGCTACTCAAAAACTCTGGTGAACCCTTATTGCTCAGTGCTCTTTGTTCGGCTTACACTATTTAAAAACACTAATCAAAATGGTTTTGCATTCCTTTATTTTAAATTTATAAGATTGCCTAACACTGGAACTAAAATATCTCTAACATTATTGGGAAATATTATAATTTGGGAAGCTGACTGATACCACAATGATAACACTAGGATTCTACTATACCGGGAATCGTTGAGATTTTTAAAGTGTTGTGATGCTTCCAAATGAAATCAGAGCCTGAGACAAGTGGAAGGAAGCAATATGAGGGGTACAAAAAGATGGAGAAATTCATTTGTACCACAAGCACTGATGAAGAACTGACATCACTCAGGACACTGCAGAGGCCTGTGTGGGATGAGTGATACATGGAGGAACATGAGACGGAGTTCCAACGGAAGATCAAGAGCGCTGTGTAAGTGGGATACGGAGCTGGGCTGGAAAACCAGCCTAAGGAGGAAAGAGGCAGACACTGCACTTTTTCAGTACCAGAAAGAATCCCATCATGCATTCTGTGGCTTTCCTCCGTATTTTTAAAATTTACAGAATCCAACTCGCCCCCTATAGCAAAAATAGTTCTACAGACTAAAAATCAAGCAGCCACCTAAACACATCCTTTTAAAATTTCCAAAACCTTGGCTTATGTTCAATTTCTGTCAATTTCTGCCTAATGTAAATCATTCCATTTTTATTCCTCCAAATACTTTCTTGCTACAACTGAGAGGTTTTTTCCATGATAAATTCTTGAGCTACCTATTTTTGAAAAGAAAAGGGGTGGGATGAGAGGGGAGGAGGAGCAGCTCCAACTCAAACAACTCCTCTTTTTTATAATATTTAGGAGTTTCTGAACCATTTGATGCTTTCTAGTTATTTTTTTCTCTGAATGTCCATACTTTATTTTAAACATTTTCTTTGAATCTACATAATTTAAATCCTTGAGGTAATCAGTATCTCAAGGATAAATGGGGCTTTTCAATTTAAGAAAAGGAGGCTGAAAACTAGAATGTGCTCCTGGCTTAATCTCGGGTCCCAGATGTATAACCAAATAGAGGTAATAACTTTAAAAAATAAAAAATAGACCCAAGTGGACAAATAAATCAATTTGGCTTATATTGCTTTTTATTCGCATTTTCATTAAAAATATGTTCATGGCGGAATCATGTTTATTCTCTTTACCAGAAAACATGGGAAGGTAGCAAAAGGAAGAAACTACTTGGAAGAGATGGTGTCTTGCTTTATAGAAGGGGATGATCCTTTTGGCAAAGTGGTAGCACTATTTGAACCTCACTGTAAGACTGTTTTGACATCCACAATAACAACGACGACCAAACACTTATTTGAAATAGATTGATCCTTCTCCAAATAGCTGACAAGATATTGTAGAACCATAATGGCTATAGGCATTATCACATTAAATTCACATATTTTGCAGACTAGCAACTTATATATCCACTCAGCCAAGCTGTTTTCCTGCTAGTAACTTGAATTCCTGTTTTAAAACTGTGCCAACTCCTCTTGGGTGTTCTGGTAATGAAAACGATTTTCCTTAAGTTTTAGCCAAAATTTTTCACTATAGTATCTTACGAAAAAGCCACAACGTTAGGGCAGACCACAATGACCAGATGGGGAAAAAAAAAACCTATTTGGGAGAATTATTTTGATGTTTAAAATAATGGGGGGGGCACGTATTAAAAATAATATGCTAATTTTGGGGTATAATCTTATTCCATACACCAAGTTAACTGAGTACTAAATTACTGATTTTTAAAAAAAATAGCTGAATATGTGCATTTAAAATATATTCTGTTCCTTATAGTAGTGGTTTAAAATGCAAAGAAATGAAACCAAGAAAGAATAGTGCATAAAAATGACAAGCTCAGGGAAATGTATCTGAAACGGATAAACAAAGATACCACTAAGAGTAGAAAGTTATGACAGCTCAAAAACATGTTTTAACCCAAGGAATCCTAGTCATTTGAAGCATCTACTCTACTGCTCTCTCACCTGAACATATCTGAAAACCATTCATCTCAAAAGAAAAGACAAATTGGTTATGAAACCCACAGGCTCCTGTAGGATATATAGTATTACAAATGTTTCTTCATCAATATATATGAGTTTGGAAGGTTTTTAAAAATATGACAATACAGCCATCTAGGAAAAAGTGACAGTATCATAATTTAGGTGAAAGTGTGAAACTGACCTGATTGATGGAGTTGGCAGCACAGGATGCGAGGCCTGTCCCAACAGAAGTAAGCAGGAAACAGGGCCAGTCAAAAGGGCCTGGAGCCAATGCAAATCCAGCTGCAGTGGTACTTACAACTAGACCTGTGATACAGAAACAGAGCAGACACACTGTTACTAACAAGAGTCCCAACTGTAAAGGCCAAAAAGACAAAAAACAAGCCATCTTTCATATAAACTAATTGATTATATTAATAATACAAAGTACAGGCTCATCTTTGGTTTAAAAAAGATCCACATATTCCTGATTATAAAAACTACATGTACTAATTATATAAAAATGTTAATTTTCTTTTAATTCCATACTCAAGAGAAAAAAATAAGGTCAGTCTTCCAGATTCAATCATTCACTTATTCATTCAACAGACGTTTACTGAATACCAAATTTGTAATCAGCATACACTGTCAAGGATAAAGATGTATACGGTCTTATTCTTGCTCTTGGGTAATTTGAAAGGGAGATGGCAGATATACCTTAATAATTGTAACACAAAATAGCAAATAACAAATAACAAGGATCCCAATTATGTGACAAACTCCAGACAAGCCTAGGGGTGGGCTTGCCTATAAGAGATGATGGTCCCAGGGGTCAGAGAATGTGTAGTGGAAGATGATAATCCTATAAGCCATCAACAGGAACCAAGTGAAGAAGCGAGGTACAGAAGCAAAGCCAGACAATTGAAGCATCCACCAAGCCTGCTCCTTTTCGGTAGGCCCTGCTGCTTCTTTCCTGGGGTTTATAGAAGCTGACAGGGCCAGAAAGTGTCCAAGAGTGCTGCTGATATGGAGCTGTAGAAATCTGCTGGAAAAACGATCCCCATTGGTGGGCAAATCTGGGAAAGCTTCAAGAAGATGGCATTTAAGTTGGATCTTCTAGAGGGCATGCAGAGAAAGGAAGAGAATGGTGGGGTGAGCAACATTACAGGTACAAGGATAATTCCAAGAACAGGCACAAGGGAAGGGAAGACCAATGTCAAGAATCTAAAGTATGCATGATACCATCTACCTAGATTCTCCAACCAAAAACCTAGGAAGCATATTTGATTATCTCCTTTGTCACTCGCTATATCCCATTCATTACAAAGTAGTGTCTGTTCTATCTCTACAGTAGGTAGAGATAGAAACCCATCACACTGCCAGCATCTAGTCCAGCAGTTCTTAACCAGGGGTAGTTTTGCCCCCCAGGGGACATTTAGCATTGTCTGGAAACATTTTTGATTGGAGGGCACGGTGCTACTTGTCTTCTAGTGGACAGGGGCTGAGGATGCTTCTTAACATCTTATGGTGCATAGGACACCCCCCAACGACAAATAATTTTCTAGCCTAAAATGCCAATAGTGCTGAGCTTGAGAAACCCTGACCTAGTCCGAGCAATTACCACAAAAGCTCACCCCCAACTGGTCTCCTTGCTTCCATCTTGCTTCTCTTCACAGTGGAGTTTTTAAAATGAAAACAGATCAAATCACATCGCTGCTTTGAACAACTGAAAATTCTTTGATGCTATACCTGATATAAAATGTAAACTCTTTCTCTGCCAGTCAGTGCATCTCATACCTCTCTTTAGCTCACTCACTGTTCTCCGATCATGAGAATTCTTCTATTCTTTGAGCATTCCAAGCTCTTTCTTGTTCCTGGGTTCTTGTACTTTTGTTTCATCTGCCTCTTTCCATGGCTGGCTCCTTTTCATCCTTCAGATCCCATCTGAAATACTACTTGTTAAGGGAAACCTTCCTGATCACCTCATCTAATGTAAGCCTCCCGTTACTTCCTTGCTCACATCCTCCTTTTATTTCCTTCACGACACTTACTACACTCTGACTCCTCACTGGAATATAAGCTCCATGAAGGTAGGACCCCGGTCTGTGTAGTTCACTGCTGTATTTGGGGGGCCATCACTATGCTAGGCATAGAGCAGTATTTACTGGAAAAACAGGAGAAAAGGTGGCAACTGTCAGATTACAGAATAGCAAGCTGAGGAGTTTATAGTTTGGTTGGTTGGCAGTGGAGAGTCACTGAAAGTCTAATGCAAGAAGGCAATCTATAAGTGGAAGTATCTGTGCACTATGACTTAAGAGAGGCAGAGAGTTTTACAGAGAAACATTTTAGGAGGCCATACCATTAATTCATTGTGAATAAGGGTTGTAAAAATGGGATATTTTGATTAGAGAATTGTTAGGATCTGGTAATTGGGAGAGGTAGGAAGATAAAACAACAAAAAAGAATGAATGGAAAAGTGCTCTTTACCATTTGCCATGCACTTGGGTGACATGGAAAGGAATGATAACATTAATAGAAGTAAGGACATTAGGGAAAGAGGTGATGAAGCTAGTGGCTTTAGGAGGAACATGTGCTGTTTTGAGAAACTTTGGGACATCCAGGTAGAAATAGAAAGAACACAGATGAAATATGAAACTAAAGCTCAGGAGGGAGACTTGAGAGACTGGAGAGGCATGAAGCTCTGGAGTTGCCCAGAGGCCATGGCTGAACCTGAGGGAATGGATGAGATCAAGGGGCAGCAGGTACAATGCAGAGAAGTATGTGAAAAAGTCACATCTTTACAGATGCGGGGAAGGAAAAGAATGAAAGACATAAAGACTATTTGGAGACATGCATCAAGACGATAAGGGGGCATAAGTGTCCAGTAACCATGTGAGGGGCTACAGGAAGCAGGACAGGAAGCCACCACTATCGGCATCAGCAGGTACATGCTAGAGAAACTGGTAGTTCCTCCTAATCATCATGAATTGGCTGGCATGTTCTTCAATCTAGTCTTATCAGCAACTTACAATAATCCTTTATAATTCTACCATATGAAGAAGCCCCTTCCCTAGTATCTATAGGGATTTCTTGATATTGCTAAATCAAATAAATACTTTGGCTGGGTTCAATGGTAGTTTGTAAGGTGCCTTAAGTATACCTCAATTCAAAGTACCTAGAGCACAAGTATTTTGGCAAGGGGTCCTTCCTTCAAGTCAGTCATTCCCAACCAAATATGGCGTGCATCCGAATATCCTGGGGGAAGATTTACCTCCAGGAAACGAGAGACATGCACAGATATACGTAGAGAGCAAGGTTCAGGAATGAGGGTGCAGGTGTGGATAAAGATTACAGGAAGATGAGCAGATTAGGAGCTGAAGGCAAACGAGGCTAATCAGAAGTCATGAAGACACACACATTCAGGAGAAAGGTCGCATGGCTGAGGTGGGGAGTCTAGGCCAGAAAGCATGTGCTGTCCCCTCTCACATCTCCTCTGCTTAGGGGTACAGCCTGTTCTGGCCCTTATATGGTACTACAAGTCATAACAACAAGTGCACACAAGGTACCTAACAGCAGCAAAGAATCACATGGAGCAGAAGGTAGCAATCAAAGGTAGAATACTCAATTTCAAAGTAAACATTCTGGAAAAAGTTTTAGCTATCTAATTCTGTAACAACTTATGCCTAAAAGAAAATGCCATGGTGATTACAGACTCTGAAAACAGTAGTCGCAGGTACATTCTACCCTTGTGCCAACGGGGAACGAACAGTCTCTCCTGTAATAGGCCATTTAGTTTTACCTGCACACATTTAATGACCATCAAGAAAGGCACTATTTTTTAAAGCAAACGACAAAGTTCCATTTAGAATATTCAAATAGCACCCATCTTTGAGGAAGCTTTTTCGTTCTTTGTAGATATCACACCATACATTGCAAAACCTCCTGGACAGGCCTGTGTGAAAGAACAAGATTCATCTTGTTTTGCAAGACTCAAGAGCTCTCCAGATGGGTTAGGCAACTCTTCACATATTGCACAGTGCATCAGTGACAACCAGGACTAGAAGAAAAATCCTTAACATCCAGGCTGCCTCTCATTTGTATCAGAATTATACTATGAAGAAGAAAGGCTGATGGTATCAATGGGAGAATCTGAGGAAAAAGAGACTGCAGAGGTTTCTCTCTTAAAATCAAACTAAATAAATTGCTTCTCTCCATAGAGTAAATCAGCCAAAATAATTTGACTATATTTTAAGGCCTTGAACACAAAAGTAGAGTTGTTTACTACTCATAAACAACTGTAATAGTTAAAAGAAAATCTACTATAACCTTCTCAATATATAGTTAGTAAAATCCAGAGTCACAAAAATAGAAGACTATAGTCAACCTTCTGTATCCATGGGTTCCACATCTGTGGATTCAGTCAACCTTGGATCAAAAATATTCGGAAAGAAAATAGTTACGTCTGTAATGAGCATGTACAGGCTTTTTTTTTTTTCTGTCATTATTCTGTAAACAATACAGTATGACAATTATTTATGTAGCATTTACATTGCATTAGGTATTATAAGTAAACTAGAGATGGGATACTGGAGCCAAGCCCCCAGGGATACTCCAAAGGATGATGTATTATACCTTAGAGATCTCTAAATATCCAGATCAACATTTTGTATTGCGCTTAACAAATTTTTTTGAGTCAATTACCATTACAGTGGACAAGAAAGCCTCATAATCATTGAACTGTCAACAATAGACATGTTCTAAACAGAAAGTTCATTTTGTCTAAAATTGAAAAGGGTATGTAGTTACATGAAAGGAAAACTGCGAATCAGAGGAGGAAGTATCTTGTTATTCTTTTTATTCACCCCCGAGCTTGATGGGGTGATAAAGCATAGAGAAAGTACATCAAATGTTTGACTGCATCTACTGATAAACTGAGGAGACAAAAAGTGATTTATAAAAAGCTAACAAAGGGAAAAGAACAGTGTTTTAGTAAGACATAACAATGATGAAATTTACAAAATGGAAATACTACCTAATTTTAAAATGTACGAATTGTAAATGGTAATACATGTAAAAAGAATAACAACTGTTACTACAGAGAAGGAAATTTGAATTTTACACATTTCTAAAAAAAATCCAAAAGCTAACAAAGAATGTATTTATACTTATTTCATCAAAGCAATTAATTTGAAAAAGAAAGGCAGGGAGGACTGATAAATTGTACAAGTAAAATTGACCAAAGTGATTTTCTCATACAACACTGCCATAACTGTAATTAAACTTTTCATTGATTTCCTGGGGTTCATTACACGGAATCATTTTGTAAC